CAGCTGACCTATCTAGATTTAGACTGAATGATATTGATACATATGTTTATTGTATCCTGTAGATGATAGTTTGTAGATTAGTATACTGACTTGATGACCATCATATACTTTATACTTTATTCATAAAAATCAACATAGCAGTAGTACATAGTACAACTGAATTGTGTTGACCTAACAAAAAGTAAACACGAGTCAACTTAGCAAAAGTACATAAGAGACATCACAACACTTACATTATACACAGAGGCACTAAGCCTTCATTTGGCTGTTGTATAGACGGATTGAGTAATGTAAGAATGAATTATACAGTCTGTTTGTTCTAGCCCTGGGTACCCTGATCCCCCCCGAGTTCCTGAGAGAAATTCCCGTTCCTGCTGGCCCCACGTCCGGTACCAAGTCATGCAGTGGATGCTCCGGGTTTAGCATGTTTTTGAGCAGTTTAACTGCCGCCAGTTCACGACGTTCCCTAAGAGTGGGAAGGACAGGGACACTCCTTCTCCCACCAAGAGAGATTATCCTTAAGGCCCTCCTCTGTACTTTCTCGATCGCTTGGTCCTGTTGTTTACTACAACCAACAAGTAGCACATGGCCATACTCAAGTACCGGCCTAACCAGGGCTAAGTAAACCTGTATGAGGTCTGAGACGCTCATCCCTTGTTTAGTGAGGAGTCTGAGGTGATGTAGTCTCCGTGACGCTTTGGTCACCATTGCGTTGACTTGCTCGTTGAAGGTTAAGCCTTGGTCAAGAATGAACCCAAGACCCTTGGCTAAACTAACAACTGGTACTGGCGCTCCCCCCAGGGTTAATGTAGGTGGCACAGGGACACTTCTGCAGAAGCAGATTTGGAGTAGCTGACTCTTTCCGCCATTGAGAGTCATCCTGTGTTCACTGGCCCACGAGTCGAGATTAGATGTTTCCTCTTCGACTGATCTGTCATCATCTGCCTTGAGTGCCAACAATGTCCTGGACAATGTGACGTCATCGGCGTACCCGACATTCATAGTATCCAGGTGGACAGTTCTCCTGGTGCTCATAAACAGCAGAAACAAGTATGGCGAAATGACCCCACCCTGAGGTACCCCAGATGTAAGAGTACGCCAGGAGCACGTCTCCCCGTTTGCAACTACTCTCTGCTGTCTGTCCTTCAGGTAGTTATGAATCCATGCTGACATTCCCGAACTTAGCTGGAGGTTGATCACAGTCTGGAGGAGCAGGGCGTGGTCAACACAATCGAAAGCCTTACTCATATCCGCGAATACTGCACGAATCAAGACTGGCTTTCGGGAGTTCAACGCAGTCATCCACGTGTGAACCATGCGCACCAAGGCAATTGTGGTTGACGACCCCCGCAAGTATGCGTATTGGTCCTTGATGAACATCCCCCACCCCCCCATCAGGGGAGCAGCAATTTAGCTTGCCAGGACGATTTCATACAATATTAACTTTCATGAAAAGCAATTGCATTTTTGTTACAGATACAACTGCAAAACCAGCAACATTTGTGTTGGACAACATGGAGCTAACATCAATGGCTGCTACGACAGGTCTGTATCGGTATAGCCGGTATAACCGCCCTTTGGCGTAAAACACCAGGTCAAAAAAATAAAAACAGTTTTACCTTTTTAGTTACTCATTTGTCTGTAAAAGTCAGAGTTAAGGTGCCATGGCATTAATGATCTAATTATATCAATAAATGAAAATATCTCCCGTGTTTGTTTGAATTAAAGTGCAATTACACTCCATAATATTGGTCTCATTTCCAAACATAAGCATTTGAAACGACAGATTAACTATACTAATCTAATATACATCAGTGATGCCAACAGTGTAATTGTTGTTTTGCAGATCCTAGGATGACAACCGGCTCACCTACAATACGGACAACATTAAATAGTATGTGATAATTGAAAAATAAATTACCAAAAGAAAACTCATTCTGCGGTTAACTTTACAAAAAAATATTTGCATATTTTGTTGCATTAATTGTACGGTAAAGGTGTTGACCGTGAATAGAAAAACCCTGCGATTTTATTATTGGCATCGTACATATGTTTTTTTTTTCTAAATCACACATATTATAAAGATGAAAATCATAATATTCATAGGATTACCTTCCGGGCTTGGTCTCAGCAGAGTAATTTTTCATCCCCGCTTTACACTGTTAAACCTTTAAATTACTATATGTTTGGTACGGTTGCTAACGTTAGTCGTTATCAGTTTGTCCATTTTACTTTAAGGTAATGAAAAGGACTCTCACACTCCTGGCAGGACACTTAATCCTCTCCAAGCGGTAAAAAAATTTATTTACCTAAAGTTTAGTTATTATAAATATATCTCATATACATGTATAAAGGAATATGTCTCTACTATATGATCGTTTGGCTTTTGCAAAAGTGATTTCTTAGCAAGTGCAGTTATCTATGCTACTTTGCTTTCTTGTGTGTAGCTACAGCGTTTGAAGGATCAAATGGAACAGTCCAAAGGAGCGTCGTTAGAAAATGTGATCGGAGTTGTTGCAGAGATTAACGATTTACTCCAGCTCGACACGTCTCAGTTATCCTCGTCTGGATTTCCACCTGAACTGGTAGGATAGGATTACAGATTTTGACCCCAAAAAAAACAAGCAATTTATTACCAAGCTTATGTCCCTTTTTCAGCACAATTTATTACGTTGCACATGGATCATAGTGATATTTGGCTTAATTGTATATATTAGTCGTCGAAATGGAATTATGGACCCATAGAGCTCTGCATTCTATGGTACTGTTTATTTCAGGTATGTACTGATAGTTACTCTCTTATAAAAAGCCAAGTAAAAGTATTAATAATATCCTCACGTGAAGCATGTTGGAATGACTGTAATGATCTTTGCACAATTTTTCAACAGGAGGCGGGCATAGATCTGCTGAGCAAGTCTGCTGAACTCATCAGATCATCTCAAGGTGCCACAGTATTAACAATGGAGACAATGTATAAATGTACGTACCTGCATTGTGAGATGTTTGTCATATATTACCCAGCATAATAATATATAACTACCGACTGTATTTAACGTATTTTTCTTCATGTAAACTTGTTGTTGTTAGTTTACTTTTAGTATATAGTGGTCAACACTTGCAGCACCTTGTCTGTTACAATATTATCTGTAGCCTGACTTCTGATTTAGAACTGCCACAACTTGATATCATTATCTTTCGAGCAACACAATACATTTCTGCCCTTCAACGGCCATTTGTTTCACATATTGGCTAAGAAGTCAACCATATTTGTTCTTTTTAAAACAATTGACGCCTATACGTTGCTAGACATAATGTAACGGGCTGTTATTTTCTCCAATAATATATAATTCGTTGGTATAATCATTGTGCACTGCTCCCGACTCCACAAAGCGTTTCTAGAAGACTTTTGGACCGATTCCGGTCCTTTACCCAATCTGTTTCAGCCGTAACACATACCGTGTCCAGTCTGATTCAAATGCTGCCAGTAGGAAACTCCACCATTCTTGACACCTTATCGCCTCTGTTTGAAATGGATTTCATAGATGTCAACTCGGTAGACGTGTCTCCAAAACAACAGCTGAAGAACAAGAAAGATCAGCAATGGAAATCTGAGCAGCAGGTCGGTTATAAACGTTACTTTTAATTGAGGTATGCAACCATGTATTACCCTGAGGAAAGTATAAGTACCAGGAGCACCATATCCTATTACCAAACTAATGAAACAATTCAAAGCGGTCTTATTGTAATTACTAATGGTCTAGGAATATTGTTACCTTAGAAATATCAAACTCTAATGCAGTGAGAAAGGAGGTTTGTATTGCATTTGATTTTAAATACGCGACGTGCGTAAAAATCAGAAAATCCATGAATTTAATCAGGAATAGTAATTTTTCCAAGCTGTATTTGATTACCTTATTATCAAAATCCACACGTTTCAACACTTACGATTTTGTATTCAACAGCTTCGTAACGCTGGACTTTTCTTAATGGGAAGTATTGAACGAATAGCAGACAGCCTCCTGAACATTTTGTCGGTTAACGAAGACTACGTGAAGAACTTTGAAAACGACGATGTCACTGTCCAAGTTGCAAGGTCCATCAAGAAGGATATAGTTAAACTTCAGGTTGGCCAGGAAAAGGTCTTGGCATCACCGGCACATTGTACTTTAGATGGTGTTACGGATGCTAAGGTCAGTGGTTTAGTTGTTCTTTATACCAGAAATCTAGTAAAAACACTGTCATGAGAGGGTGCTTTTTCAAAAGATAAATTAGGCAGTTTTGTGAGCACTCTTTGGAGATGACGTCATTTATAATTATGGACGGTAATGGACGCTTGTAATGTTTTTAAATGGTGTGGAATTTTAAATTCGTAGAAAGATTTTCTTTATATTCGAATACCTTTCTACACTTCTATCCTTATATGCTGTAGATGACTATAATGAAGAAGAACCTGTTTTCCTGGAACGCATCTACCTTTGGGGAAAACGTCACCACACCCGTGACTACGTTTTCGTGGGGTCCTGGACGCCTTGACAGCTGCTCTATACAGCTAAACATCTCGAATCCTGTCGCATTTGGAGTCATTGAAGAACCAATGCGTCAAAAACGCGACCTTCGGAAACGTGGTCTTGTTGGGACACAGTCAGCACTGAGTGACATTGCCGGCAGACAGAACAACAACGTGACGATGGCCCACCATGCGTTTGACGTACCAGCTGATACCGCTGTCGTTGTGATGCAGTTGTCGTGGTGGGATCACGCCGCTGCCTTCCGTGTGTTCTTCCGGTACGACACGCCTCCTACAGAGAAGCTGTATGACGACATGGTGATAGTTCAGGAAGAAGACGTTTTTCTGGCTTGGCATCGAGGCACAAACAGCTTGCAGACATTCACTCCAAATATCCAGAGACGGCGGGGGAGACTTTATGTTGGGATACAAAAAGAAGGTAATGTCAACTGAATCTAAATTGCTCAGCCAGTTTGACCACCATTTAGTTTAAAACACCCAATACCCTAGCAACAATGAAAAAGGGTTCCTTTACGGGGCAAAACCACTAAACCGTACACCCATTTTGACAAAATCTATACATTTATTACCTTCGCCAAGAAGGTTATGTTTTCAGTAGCGTTTGTGTGTATGTGTGGTTGTGGTTTAGCAAGATAACTCGAGAAGCAGTAAATGGATTGGAATAAAACTTGGTAGGTGGGTAGGTCTTCATGAGACCTAGAAATGATTAGATTTTGGGCCCCCTGGCGGCTTTCCTAGGTACTGCAGCAGAACTTCCGGTTTTGATATCTCGTGATCTGGACATGCTAGGGTCACGAATTTTGGATGGCAGATCTCTCTTGGGATAGGGAAGAAGTGACATGAGTTTGGGTTCCCTAGCAGCTTGTTCTAGAATTGCAGGAGCATTTGTTGAAACATTTTCGAGGGAGGATAACTCAAGAACCGGTTGACGGATTGTCGTGATTTTTGGTATTTAGGTAGTTGAAGTGATGCTTGTCATAATCAGATGACAATTATGCAATTTAGGAGCTAATTTGCATAATTAATGAGGAAATTCTAGAAATCTGCTTTGTTCGATAATAGAACTATGAAACACCTGTGACATCCACTTGAGAACGAGAAAAACATCTGAGGATATAGATTATGTAAATGAGGACCTAATTTGCATAATTAATGGCAAATTTGTATAATTTCATAGTTGTAACTGCTCGGAATTACATACTTGCTACATTTGGAAGGTGAACATCAATAAACATAATTGATTCAAATCATGACCCCATTTGCATAATTTATGAGGAAGTGCTGAAATAGCCTTTTTGTTAAGATAAGGCTGTCATTGGGTGGAGAATATGATCAACTGATATAATCCATGCAAATGAGGTGCTTATTTACTAAATCAATGATTAGAATTATATAATTTGTCAACCGCAAGAGTTAACATTAAGAGTTAACATTAATTCCCGTAGAATCCGCCACTCGTCTGCAAACTGCACCTTCATCCAAGGACTACAAAATTCAGGCAACGACAGTGGGATGTCTCAACTGGGATCCTACATTGGAGAAGTGGCAAGAAACCGACTGTGGGGTGAGTTTCGGGTTGTTTTGTGAAGCAATGATTTATGCACAGACCTAGAGATGCAGCATGTACCTGTATTGGTCTTAATGTGGAGAATTTAACAGCTTTAATTGAAGTATATCATACAAAAGCAACTCCAAGTATTTGTAATCCTTGATATTTTCTCTTTGAAAAATCATAATAAACAAATAAACAAACAAATATATGGCGACTGAAAAAACAGCATTTCATAAACTTCCTCCTAGATCCTCTCTATTTTCTATAATTCTAAAATTCCAGTGGTGTTAGTTAAAACAAAGAACTGCCCTAGGCCTAGTGCTAGTATTATCCTTCAATATCTGATTTATTTTTTTGTCTGCACCAGGTCCACGTAGATCCATCAAATACTACCATGACATGTAACTGCAACGTTCCGAGATCGAAGGCTGTAATTGCTGGCTCCTTACACGTCCTTCCAAATTCTATTGATTTTGACAAAATCTTCGACGATCCCAACATCCTGAATGACAACGAACTTGTTTTCTACACTGTAATTGGCGAGTGGGCTCTCTACTTCATAATGATGATTCTACTCAACGTGGACTTCAAGCGCCATCGAGTGAGTATAGCTAGATGTTGGCAGGGTTAAAAGTTCAACATGAAATTTACATTCATTCTTTTTTTAACTGTAGTTGTCTTGTAGTGTTTTTTACCCACTCCATTTTTTCCTCTTTGTACCAGAAACAGACGGCTTTCGGCAGTAAGAAGCCTTTACGACCACTGTCCATCCTCCCTCCGGACAGGATGCCTGCCCCATATCTGTACCAGATTACCGTGAACACCGGCTCCATGTTTGGTGCTGGAACCTCGGCACGAATCGGGTTTCAAGTGTTTGGATCAAGAAACAAAACCGCGGTCAAGATGCTAAACCCGGATGGAGAAGTATTAAGTTTCAAATCTTTTTAACATGATATGTCTCGTTTATTGACTTGGACTTTTGATTTCTGTTTGTTTTCTTGCTTATCATATTGCTAAAACAGACTTGACATGTTGCTAAAAGAGGTTTGACTTGATACGTAAGCTTTATTGTGTCATAAATATCTACGTCCTAAAACATTTCAAATCTTATTCAGTCCTTGCTGCGAGGTGGCACTTATGACTTCATCATGCCCCAGAAGTCGTCACTGGGACATCTGGAGCTGCTGCATATCTGGCACGACAACACCGGTGTGGATGAGGCTTCGTGGTTTCTGAAGGACATTATTGTGAAGGATCTGCAAACAGAGGAAGTGTAAGATGCAAACAATAAACAAGTTATAGTGACCGAGGATTCGTTAACCATTAATTAAACAGAATTTTACAAAAACATGTACCCGTAGGTTTTCATTCATATTTGAATTCAGGAGACATGCATAATGAATGAGTTTCTATTGTTTTGCAATCCATTCAAAATTCCAATTTTATTTTGTGAAGAAGTTTAAGTTCTTCCCATGCTTTAAAATTTATGGATTTGTGTAATCTGTGGTTGCACCTTAAAATTTGTGTCTTGTTTTTGACCCTAAACAAGACGTCTTATGATTTTGTTAATCAATAATGTGAAATATCACCAAAAGCCTGGAATTCATTACACATTTTCATTGGTCTAAGCCATAATCCTTGGTCTAAGAAAAGTATTGACCTAGTACATTTAGTTTTTGTTGCATTTTGCAGTTATCAGTTTGTCTGCTATGACTGGCTGTCTGAAGAACGAGGCGACTTCCAGATTCAGAAAGTTCTACACGTGGCGACCCGGGAACAGTTGGACTGCTTCAGTAGTCTGTTCCGTGAGAACACGGACGCAATGTTCTACGATCAACACATGTGGACATCTCCCTTTGTGTCACCTGAAGGTATCTTCCATCAGACGTTGAGCATGCTTTGGTTCTTTTCTTTTCATAGTTATCTTCTCAAAATACAAGTTATAAATCTATAGCTAGCTATACTGTTATTGTTTCCGCAGAATATTTTGCTTTCCTAAAAGGAGACTATATTTACTGCATTTGGAGATGTATTAGGTATAAGGTGAGCTTGTTACCTCCATGAAATGGTGGGTACTGTTTTCGGTCTAAGGGATATCTTAGTGTATGTCTTAAGATCCGTCTGGAGGAATAGGATGTTATCTAGTAGGTGGGTAGGTGTGGTAAATTAGATTTTTTAGGTTGTTTTGGGGCACCTGACAATTGAACTTGGTACTGCAGTAGGAAATTAAAAACTATCTTTGGCACTGGACTGTCTTTGAGCATGGTGTTTAAGTGGCATATGGTTGTTAAGATAAAGGTTAAGTTGTGTAAATTTCGGCCCCCAGCTGTTTGCTGTGGCCAAGCAGGGTTGCTCGATTTCATTTTTGTTTTCGGCTAATGATCACAAGAACCACTAAATGAATTGCGATTGCCTTCGGTCCTTGAATAGTCGCTGTGTGACTTTGAGTTTTAACGTGCAATTTGCAGGTTGCAGTCGATCTGCAATGTTTTTAAAAATTTACGCCCCCCCCTGTAATTTGCAGTGTTGAGTCCCTAGTGCTAGTATTATGGTTGCGTCATTAACCAGGAAACGGGGTCATCTGTCTTGGTCAGGTGTACATCTGTGCTAAGGATTTAATGTAAGGATAAGCTTGGCACTAGGGTGGTGAACCTAGAATTCAAAAGTTGTCTCTGATGGTAGGTTGTAGCCTGGACATGTTTGCCTCTTATATGTTTGTTTATTTGGTAGCTTGAATCATGTCCAAGAGAAATCTGTAAAAGTGGTAAAGTACGTGACCTTGCAAGGAAGATGGAGTTAAGTAATTATCTTTGAATGTGATGTTTAATCATACAAGGTAAAGCACAAAATTTACAAAACACTAGCTATTTCATTGAAGTACGAGGTCTCCGAGCTCTTGTTGTAAATCGTTTTTGTCTATTGTAAATCTATTTTCAGGATCAAATTTCAGCAAGTCGGAACGTCTGTCCTGTTGCTGTGCTGTCTTCAACAGCATCATGCTGTCCAACGCCATGTGGTACAAAAGTGACGAGGGCTTTTTGACCAAGAACACCGTGTATGATCTAGGGTTTGTTCAGATCACCCTACAGGTAAGAGAACCTCATAGGTTTCATGCCCGTAGCCAGGATTTTGAAGGGGGGGGGGGGGTTCTTCCCGACTGCGCATGCTTGAGGTGACATCGAGTGCCGTAGGCGCGAGGCGAGAGCCGAAGGCGCAAGGTTCCTAGGGGGTCCGGGGGTATGCTCCCCCTGAAAATTTTGAAAAATGAACCTTCTAAAATGGCATTTCGTGCATTTTTGAGAGGACTTCGAAGAATAAATCAGAGATAAATTTTTATTCAATGACAAAGGGAGCAGTTTTCTACGATTCCAGTCCATCTTTTCAAGAAAAATCTTTGACCTTTAAATAAAAGCGGACCAAATAGTGGACGCTTACATAAAAATTGAACCAAAAAGTGGGCCTTTGAGCCTTGTGGGGGTTCTTCCTAATCCCCCCCCCGCCCCTCCCGGCTACGGGCATGGTTTTCCTCACTGCCCTTACCGACAAAGATAAATGGCAAGAATTTTAGTTTATACCCTTGACAAGTCTCTCCAACGTTATCTACGTTATCAACGTTATTAATTTTTTTATACCCAAGGCACTCCAATCCTGTAGGATCCGACGCTTGGTGAATTGCCCAAGCAGATAACTGCTCATTATAAGTTTAGAAGTAAAGATTTTGCTTGTATCCTCTTAACTGCAATGGAATTAAAGACTTTAAAAATCTATTCTCGCAACCTCATCGCCCCTTTTCATATAAACTGACATTTTTTCTTTTGTGTTTTTTGTAAGGAGCTGTACGTCAGTCTCATGTCTGTTATTATGGTGTTACCGGTTGTTTTGGTACCGGCCAGACTGTTCCGTGTGGCGGCATCCGCTCCAATCACGGCTCCCGGAATACGGCGTAGCTCCAAATATGGTATGCTGCTTCATTAACATACTGACGTAGTTATGTATACGTGTGTCTATTTCAAACGAGGCAGATCAATATACCTAACATTACATACAAAAGGTATTTTATACAAAAACCCCGTCCTTTTGTTTCTATAGGCCCTGCATTTGGTCCTATAGTTTTAGCTAGATCTCAATAAAGATCATGCAATGGTCATGCTATACAGGCTGACAAAAAAAGATACTAAACTACGACTCTTTCTTTCATCCTATCAGGGTTATTTAAAGAGCGACTGACAAGTTTTTCAAAGTACTTGGCGTGGGTGCTCGTGGCGATGGTTTCTGTCGTCTCGTCGTTCTTTGTGATCCTGTACAGTCTGGACTGGGGTAGAGAGAAGAGTGCAGCCTGGCTTAAAGCCTTCTTCTTTTCATTCGGTTTCTCAAGTCTCATCGCCGAAACTGTCCAGGTAAACTTCCTTAATAAGGCTTTGGTCAATTTCAGTCGCTCTGCTACATCCTTTAGGTATGAAGTATGCAGCTAATGACAACGTTATTAATGATATATCTGCAGATATTGGTCCTGGCCACCCTTTTTGCCATGATTTGTATCCCGAGGTCCTCCGACAGGCAGAAGATGTACAAAATCAACAAAGGTGAACTCCACGTGCATCTTTATGATCACAAAGGTAGGCCATTATACATTTATACCACAATGCTTTTTGCGATTATTCCTTAGGCGTGGGTCAAAAGCAAGACTGAGTAAAGCGGTTAGAATCTTAGTACGATGTGTCTGTTATAACCAATGTCTTGTATACGATGTTTATAATTTCAGCTCGTCGGAAGGTGTATCCACCGGGTGCTGCATCTGCTGAAAGGATTAAAATAAAAAAATGTACAACGGCGGAAGTTCTTCTCCGTCATTACGGAGTATGGTCTACTTTTTCTGTTTGTTGTGATTATGTTCTTCATCAGCCATCACGATAAAGACCCGTTTGCCTACCACGCATCGCAAACGCTGTCCGGCACGCTTCTGGAAGATCACGATTCGGTACGCAACATTCCAGACACCATATTTAAATTGCAGTTTAAACCTTGAACGTGAATGCAGTAAATTGTGAGGATGTGTAGTATATGTCACAGATTATCTCTCTTAATATCATACGACCATATAGTAAGATAATTTTGTTGGGTCTTCTCGTCATTCTCAATCAACCTGACGTCAATAAAAGATTACCCGAACCCTTTACTGCTTGTTTTGGACGCCAAAGTTATCTGTTCACATTCCTGGCTATTGTCCTAGAAACACATTTTACTCTATGTTTGTTTTTTCACAGATCACCACTGCTGACGAGTTTTGGACATGGAGTGAGGAGATCCTCCTGCCTGTTTTGTACCCGTCGTTCTGGTACAACGGGTGGAAGATGAAGTACTTGGACCGACAGTTTCTACTTTATACTGATGCCTTCAAAATCGGCCCTCCACTCCTGACCCAAGTCAGGGAGGCACCGGGTGGGAATCATGGCTTTTCATGTTTATCATGTATAGTGCTTTCATGGTTACAACAAGTACATCTGGCTGTTTGATACCGTTTATTTCAAAGTCTTAAAGCGCAATAGACTTCGATATCATTTATTCATTACAATCTACGTTACGATAAAGTGTAATGAATTCTTGAACTTAGTTGTCCTGTACTAGAAGTTTGAAATGAACTGCTCTTTTAATTTTTGTGATATATACTTTGTACTTAAGCAACTGATTTAGCCATAAGCATTAACATTTCAACGTTTTATACACGCAGATGCCATGGCCACAGGAAAACACGGATGGATGGTTTCAACTGGAAATGATTCATCCACATGTTGGCAATTTAATGTCACCTTCATGATGTCACAAGGTTCAGGCTGCGCCTCCAAATACTCCATGGAACTCCCGGGTCTGCTAGGTTTGGCGAGAACAGTATTCTCCGACCTTCAGAAAAACGAGTGGATCGACAAATACACAGACTATCTGGTTCTGGACCTGTCTATGTATTACCCTGCCCAAAAACTGTTCAGTAGCCTGAGACTGACCGTACAACAGGAAGATATCGGCCATCTGTCTACATCTGCAACTGTGGAAACACACAGGCTGTTCCAGTACGAAAATGACTCCGATTACGTCATGTTGGTCTCCTATATCATCTTTTTATTTTTGTTTGTGGTTCATCTCACCAAAGAAGTAATCATCATGAAGAAGGAGGGAAGGAAGTTCTTCAAGTCTATGTGGAACATCTTGGCCCTAGCGAGCATAATTGGATCTGCAGCTGCCATCTGTATCTTTGGAATTAGGTACCGATCTGCATCTGCGGCACTGGACAAATTGGTCAAGGCAACAGGTACATTGTTACATTAGATTTTACAGACTGAGATTAAGAAACAGGCATACAGATGCAAACAACAATATTGAGAAGAATTTGCATTTTCGAATTGAATAATATATGTACACATCATCTATTATAATCCATATGCTGGAATTGATGAATTCTGAGCAGTCGAGTTACGGATCCTCATGGCTAGTACAGTAATCAGTTACTATCTAACTTCGCCATATATCTTATATATTATTTTGTAGGCGAACTTGGAATAGACAGGTTTGTCGACTTTAGCTCCACGTTCTGGTGGGATGAAGCCTTCAAGACCGTGCAGGCCTTGGTAGTGTTCATCACTACACTGACGTTACTCCGAGTCGTCCGCTTCAGCAAGACCATCGCCAGTTTCATCGCTCTGCCGGGTGTCATGAAGAACGACCTGATCGGCTTCTCAATCGTCAGTGCTATAGCCTTCATGGCTTTCAGCTGCTCAGGTAAGACGTCCTATATGATAAGAACGAAGCCTCTAAGACCGTATTCTTTTGATTGCCACATGTTTATGACAGCAAGATAGGAATATAATCTTTTCATTATCTAAATGGCATACATTTCTCTGTATGATCTTGACGACCTAGAATGGCTTCGAAGCAATGACGCTTCTCAAAAAGGTTTAGACGTAGATTTTTAAAATCTTGCATTTTTGTGTTGTACTAACTGTGGTACTTAACGTTTGTGTTTGCTATGATCGGAGTCTTTTTTAATTAAGACATTTCATTTTTGACCACAGGGATGCTTGTATTTGGGACACATATGAAGGCCTACACCAATGTGTTGCACACCAACTTCGCTTTATTTGAGATGCTGTTGGGCAGGTATGTAGCGCTATTGCCTTTAACCAAATGTCAGTTCACTATAAGTCTGTTGTGTCGATCTAATAGCCTTAACTTGTCACAGAACGCATAAAGCATATGAAAGCCAAAGGTTATGCTGTCAGCATTGTGTTAACTTGTCGGTTATGTTTCCAGGTTCTTTGCCGAGGAAATCTTAGAATCGAACCGATATGTGGGCCCGATCTTCTTTACCTTTTTCATGATACTCATCTTTATACTACTTGTCAACTTCCTGGTAACTATCATCTGTGATGCCATCGCTTCTGGTGCCTACATTGCTGATGAACATGACCAAGAACTGGCTGATTATATTTGGAAAAGTTTCCAGGAGATGTTCGGGATTTATGTCCCTCCTTCGGAAGATGCCACAACAGGTGAATTATTTCAGCAGGGTACTTTAGATGCATTGGTGGGAGTCGTGTTGAAAATAAAATACAAAACTGCGGTTTTAAACATCAAAGACTTTTTTGTACTTTTCCACTGTGTACCTTCTGTCCTTGTCAGCGAATTAATGAATACAATTTTGTTTTCTGTCTTATGATGTATTACTAATTAGAGACACATGTATTACTAATTCGGGAATAGAAATGTAGATTTGGGACGTTTGATCCACTGTTTAAGTCGCGTAATGTCATTGTTAGTGCAAAATAACACTAAACAATAGCCATAGGCAATTTGAACTCTACCATTAGATAAGAGATGTCTTTTGATGTTTTGAATGACACCCACCCCTCTTTTTCGGCATTACGAAAATGAACCAACAAAAGTAGTCAACACGATATAAGTAACCAGAAAAAAGACATGACAAAGTGTCATTGCTATGTAAATCAAGTTAAGATAATTCCCGTGGAGAGACAAAACCATAGGACCTAGTACTGTCGCTTGGGTGATGGCAGCGCAGGGTCCTAATAATATATACTTGTGTTGAGAGTTCTACGCGGAGTACTTCTTTCCGGTTTAAGATGAAGTGTAGATCCGATCGTAGATGGCCTCTTTTCCCCGTTGTTCACGGTCAAGAATGTTGCCTGTAGTCTGACGGAACGTTTCTAAGCTCTTCCTTTAGCGGTTTGTTGGTTTGTCTAATATGGGTGCTGTTCTACTCTTAACACTTCAGTCTGTAGATGACTTCCAATTTGATGGCTTTCTGTACGCGGTTCTTAGGGCGAATCTAAGGGACAGTAGCAGTTCCCATGGCTCTAACTTACCATAAGGACTATCTTAACTTGATTTACATATCAATGACACGAGTCTTTGTCATGTTTAATTGGTTTTGCTAGCTGTACATATATAAGTGTTGACTAGTTCCGTTAGTTCATTTTGTGACGGTGAAGAAGAGTGATGGATATCACTCGAAACGTCTGAAAGGAATTCTAATAATTTATCCTACAATTATAGTAGAGTTTAAATTGCCTATGAGTAATATTTGGCTAGATGTCTAACCTTCATAAACGTAATATGATTTATGCTCAATAAAAATGCAAACTTAGTATATATTTTTCGTCTTTAGATTTATCGTAATTGTAATTCCTATCATTCACAGACGAAGCAAAGGAAACCGAGCTTAATGCAACCTTGCAAATGATTGAAGAATCTTTGAATGAAACATTGGACGTTACAAGCTGTCTTTTGGAATACAGCACAATGAATGAATCTTTGTCAAGTCAACACGATCACGACACTGCCCAGTTCTCCGAGGAAACATCACAAGGAAAATATAAGTTAGAAGATATTTCGCCGTCAACTTCATATGACATTAAAGAGCAAGTTGAAAATCTCCTGAAAGTCCACGAAGAAAGCACGGTCAGATATGAAGAGGCACAGAACGAGAACAGACGTCGTGCCGAAGCCATGCTGAAGAGAAAACTGGCTGAGAGAAGGATGAAAACACAGACCAAACCAGAGGGGAAGACCATGGCGCAGTGTGCTCAACGCATCATGGAGCAACATGCTGCCGACAGGGAGCGGCTGGAACAACAACAAAGGGTGAACAGACGCTTGATCCAGAGCAAACTTCGTCAGAAAATGGCACTTCGTGGCATGCAAAAAAGAGAAAATCAAAAATAGCAATATTTCATGTGTCGTCTTGAGTTGTTTTCATATCATATATATTTTCCCTAATAGGGCACACCCTTGATGATGCAACAGTTAGTCAGAGCGCATTTTAGCAAATAAAGTTGAATTTGCTCATACGTTATCTAAAAAGGCTTGTTTTTTGGTTTCAGAATACAATTTAGATCAAATTTAGTATTTGATCACAGTCAGTGAATTATAGAAACATGTACGATGTGTATAAATTATTAAAATAGAAGCATTCAGATAGCAAATATGTTTTTCAGATTTTAATCGATTTTATCATATGAGCATAGTTTCTAGGTCTGATCTACGCAAAATATCGATATAGGTAGTAATTGCATGTCTGGTTACGGATTCTAATTTAGAAATCTGTAAAAAGTATATCATAAAGTAAATAAAACTATATGTGTTCATAGATGTAAATGTAAGGATCCTACTTAGTCTTTACGTTTTACAGGTGATTTTTGCAGAATTTAATTATTTTGCGTGTTGGTGTTTTACGCCGTAGGGCGTTTGTAAATAGGTGTTGATGATAAATGCCATCTTATGTATTATAACATTATCATATTGTATAACTTACATTGATGCAGAAAATCGTTATTCGTTATCCCTTGTCTATTGCAGCAGGTTTAAAGTATTTTAATTCCATGATAAAGTTTATTACATATCCCAAGGAGTTTTATTGTAACATTGTCAAAACATGAAGATTGAATAAAGTGTAAGTAATGATTTGAAAAAACTATTGGTGTCGCAAACTGTGTGCTGGATTTAATTTCTTGACTGGAAAAATAGCAGTGGGAGACGGATTGTCTCACCAAGTTTTCACACTGTAATTTTATATTTAGAACACATTCAGTTGGTATATTGCGTTTTATCGTTATTTATCCTGGATTGTATTTGTTATTTCTGTGAAGAGACAGAAGGTTTTTACCAGGTATGGAGCTACTGGTGGGATATATATCTGTCGCGTGCCAAAGGCGCAGAATCAACCGAATCAAAGATACGTTTAACCCACAACAATTTTACTTTAACACGGGGTTTTCCCAAAGAAGTACAATTTTGAAACAATATTTCTTGATATCACCAGGCTCAATAAAAGACAGCAGATGCTGATTGGTTACTAGTATGCAGACGTCATTGCTCGATCTACGGCTAGAACAATCTGTGACTCCTCTGTATTGAATTAATGATGCATATAGGACGTCTGTAAGATTCAAAAGGCCAGTAATTCCTTATTCACGAATCCTACTGCTATCCTATAGATCACCTGTGGTCTGTGATTTTTTCAGGTGACGCTCCATTTTGGTCAAAGAGTAGGTTGATAGACCTAATACCATCGTGGGATAAGCAATAAAAAGTTTTTAATGAAGTTTTAACTATGAAACTGTCCGTTTTAGGCACGTTAGGCATCCATGCGCGTCGATTTTAACCGACGGTAAGAGAACTACAGTTAAAGGTTTACCTGCATTTTTGTAGGTACACGCACCTGTATCAGCCTAATAATATTTTTTTTTAAACCTTGCCTGCATACTTCCGTCTGAAATATAGTATGGATCGTACGACAAACAAAAGTTTATTAGCCATTTCATGTCGAATAAGTAGACGGGTAAAATTAGCAATGCACTAGAAACAAGTAATTTCTCTATATGGTTAGTTTTTTCCATACCGGTTCGCAATTATAACTGAGTCTTTTGCTCCATTGATATGTAGTATAGCATCTCGCCTGCTAGTATGCGCGAGATAATGCTCTTTTTAACATAAATCCAAATACTGGCATGCAATCCGAAAACAACATCGATCTCATACCTTCGCAAAATGATGTTAAACTCTTTGTGACCCTATCACGTCCAGATCATATCAAAGGTGCACACACCAATTCTTCCGCGAATTTCCACTGTAGTGCCCGGAAAAAAAGTGACGAAGGGGTTCCGGTGGTTCATGTTTGAGTTTACATTTCTCATAATCTGCTGCAAAATGGTATTAACTACTAACATGGCTGGAAAGTGTAAGAAGTGGCGTGTTTTGGGTGAAAATTGATTTCGGGCCCGAGGCTTACTTCCGGGTGTCCTTCCGCCTTCAGCGCGGTGCTTCGGTTTGACGTAGATATGCGTTGTATGCGTTCTGGGGGTGCTGTCGCTATGCCTCGCGCGACGGGCTATTGTGATAATCTCAGTGTTAGGATTTTCTTTAAACTTTTCTTAATAATACATAAGGGTTTTCTCTTTCCGAGCATATACGTCGTATTAGTGGCTAAATTATGGGTGATGGGTCTAATTCCACGTGAAAATGGCCAATTTTTGGCATCATTTTTCATCGAAAAATTCTTTTCCCCCTAAAATTTACAAAAATGTGAGATAATGATGATGATGATGACTGGTTTATTTGCAACACGTGCTCAGACATACCGTTGCAGCCTTATCTGGCTGAATTATGGCATGATACAAATCTTATGTCCATCACAATTCTTTACCCTAATTAACAGACAAGGTACTATTACTAATTCATCAAAATCAATTATACAAACATAGGCTAAAAGACAAGGTGCGTACTGGTTAACAATCATAACATAACTTTACAGTAAAAGAGACCTATTGATTGAAATCCATTCTACTTTACTATACTAGGCGAGGCGAGGTACTAATGATTAAATTCCATTCAATAATTTTACAGTAAAAGGCAAGGTAGTATTTGTAAATCTGGAAGTTCTACAGTCGAACTGGGTGAAGTTATCCTTCGTTCTCAGTTCTCTGCCGTGTACGTTTCCCCGTTTCGGAGGCAGCCAGCAAGAGAAGACAGGGGATTTAGAAATAGAAACTGCAAACTTCATACACAGATTGCGTCTTCTCGAGGACAGGGGAGTGAGAGATAGCTGTTTTAGTGCGCTGTCATAGCTAACATATGTTCTACCTAGAATGACTTTACAAGCCCTCTTCTGTACGGCTTCAATAGGCTTCGACTGGAGACTAGTGAGGCCAGGATGCCACACCGGACAGGCATACTCTAACAACGGCCGAGCAAAACCACAGAAAACTAGCACTAGGTCGTTATCGTTAAGTCCGTGTTTCTTCAGGACACGTACTAGGTAGAGCCTACGGTTGGCGTTACTGACAATGGTATTAACATGAGCGGACCACTTTAGATCGGCTTGCAGTATGACACCAAGAACTTTAGCAAACTGAACCACTTCTAAATATGATGGTCGTACAGACAATTGTGGAGGAGGAGGTGGGTTTCTCATGAAAGATATAACCATAACTTTACATTTCACTGGATTGAGTTCGATGTAGTTACATTTGGTCCAGCACACCAGACTGTCAATGTCCCTTTGCATGGTGGAAGGGGTAGTACTGCGTCGGGACTCTGCCAACGACATGTCATCTACGTATTTCCAGCCAGTCGCCGAGCCTTCTTCGTCCGGAACAGCGTCGTTTATAAGTGCCAGGAATACGAGGGGGCCTAACTTCGTTCCTTGTGGCACTCCACATGAAAGAGTTAGCCATTCAGAAGTTGTTCCTTGATACTTTACACGCTGTTGACGGTTGAACAGGAAGGAGGTGAAATATAGAGGTGAAATATAGAGGTGAAAGAAATTGAAATTCTATTGTTCTCGTAGCTAGAGCGGTATCCTTCATTATCATATAGCCAGGTGACGTTGACCAATCAGAAGCCTCCATTCCATATTGATTATGTAATGTCACAGTTAGCATGATACAAGTATTGCCAGGTGTGTTTTATTCTCACAAGTGTGCTTTGTTGCACAATAAAGCACGGCCCCGGGGCAAACCATTTGCAGGGGAGCTGATTTTTTTTGCTGACATTTGTAGCACGTTTCCTTGTTGAATAGAAATGTTTCCCGTCTTGTCATCACCCACTTTATTTAGCAATACATAACAAAATAAAGACCATGTCAATACATGTGGATTTTGAGCGAAAGAAAAGAAAACATTTTTGCGCCACCCCCACTAGTAAGTACATTTCTGTATTGAAACATCCAAATGACCTCAGATGACTTCAAATGGAAGCTTGTTCTATTCTTTTGGCCCAAAATAACCACAAATGGAATGCCGGTTCTGTTCCGAAGTTCCGGTGAACTCAAATGAACTCTGATAGAACAGGTAAAATCATCACACTAAAGGGCATACAATTTTAGACAATGGTGTGCCAGAATTTGTCATACAAGAACTGATTGAGGCCAATTTAGACTCAATATGTGTGTCCTTGGAATCGGGAAAGATGCACAGGAACAGTGGCCAGCGGACGGGAGGATAGAGGAGTGACTGTAATGGTTTGTTATATAATTTAGACATATGTGTTATACAGGAATGTGTTACTCTCTACTGTGTAAGTTTTGATAGGCTATATGGTAATAGCGTTAATGGCCCGCCCTTTCTCGGTGAATATAACAACCTCATAAAGCCACCTCGTTCGCTGTCGCTCACTCGATGGCTTTATTCGGTGGTTATAGCAACTGCCAAGGCTTTATCACACCATATTCACCTCGGGACGGGTCATTAACCCTTAATTTGCAAACACAGTGTTTTGGCTCAAGAGGTATTTCCTGAAGGAGACGGTCGCTAGAGTTGAGGGTATGCAGAATCGAATTAAGACCCAAAATAAACTCGGATGTGCCCCCTTAAAACCGGAAGCTCCGCTGCAGTACAACAAAAAGCCACCAGATGGCCCAAAATCTTATAATTTCTAGGTCTCATCAAGACCTACCCACCTACTAAGTATGAAGACAATCCATTAAAGCCTTCTCGACGTATCGTGTTAACAGGCAGACAGACAACACACACACACACACACACACACACACAGACACACACACAGACAAACAAACAAACACACACACTAACGCCTCTGAAAACATGAGCTGGCAATCTAGACATTAGATCAGTGACAATACGGCTTGGCACTAAATTATTCAAGAAGCATATGGGTGTGTTTACGAGCACTCTCTACAAAAGACGTGTTGTGTTCATGCGTGTGTCCATGCGTCACAAGCTATTTTCCTTGATCTGCATCTGTATCGGTATAGCCGGTGTAACCATGACATCGCTATTGTCAGTGGGCAGTCGTATAAGACCTCGTCTTAACATCTTTTCACCTGCCTGTGTGACTGTATGTGTGCATACGTGGTCTTAAAATGCAAGCGTATTTCAGTATGATAGAATTGATAAATTTTTGTTTGAAACCTTGTATATAGTTCATTCCATACCATAGATATTAATGTTGTTTTATTTTACACCAGAGCAGTTTTCACCTGGTAATATAATATTACAAAACCCAATGATTGGAAATAAAAATGTATTTTTATCTGCTCTTAGCCCGTTGGGACAAAAATGCACAATGAAGGTATTCGGCCTATATTTCATGGGACTCTAATGAAATTAATTAGTTCTGATGGGTGTTTGTTTGTGTGTGCTTGTGTGTGTGTGTGTGTGTGTTTGTGTGTGGACAACCTGTTGATTTCCTGTGTCTACTGTCATAGGTTTCATACACTCGATTTGTTTCGAGTCTACGATGTGCATCTTTATTATATTCCTCTAATTTACCATGACAGGAATGAGCGCGTCCGATACACGATGTACATCTTTATTATATTCCCCTAATTTACCATGACAGGAATGGGTGCGTTTTTCTCATGTTGTGGAGAACCTGTAGCTACGACCTCAGTCATTGACTGGTCGCGGGTTTTCTTGACTGCTCAGCGAACCCTCAGCGAACATCATCAAGATGAGGAAGAAAATACAAAGTAGCCTGATCGAACGAGTCGTCCTCGTGTTGACTTTGCTCCAACCGATGACTCAAGCAGCAGGTAGGACAACAATAGGATCGCTCTTCTTTCGATCGGAACTTCTATTCAACTCATTCTTTGCAGGGAAAAAGGACCTAAACTAGGACTTACGGGCCACATTTGCTTATCAAATGCAACTCACTACTTTTAAAAATTCAATTATATAAAAAATATAAGATGATCAAACTAAATTGTTTTTGATCTGTTGATACTTGATACTTGATTTGGATATCCATTAGTAGAACATTTGTGCGACTAATGCTCCTGGATTCCAACAATAACACAAGACGAAACATTACACAGACTTTAATAATTATGTAAAGACAACATTTGGCTTCAACACCACTAGACCTCTACACAAATTTTCAACCTACACATGCTTTTCAATCATGTTCCTTTCTTTGTGTTGACTAAGCACTTTTTGTAGAGTATAGGCGTGGTTACATTGCACCATCCTATACTTGACTACCAGTCTGGGGCTCATATGGAATGTCTTTTGCCCACATCCACGGTTTGTTGTGGATGCTTTAGCTCAGAAGAATTTCTGCTGTTTACATGAAATACTAGATCTTACAGTTAAGTCTTTGTTCCCGATAGAATTTTGCGATCAAATCTTGTTTGAATCACATAGAATATGATACGCACAAATAAGTAAGCAAGTAGATATCAAATCAAATCAAATCTCTTGCGGGCAAATACCCGAATTTCGTCTTTATTACATACATAGTACATAGAGCATTAAAGACAATGGTTTGTGACACTCTTCATTGTACACATGAAACATCATAGGTAAACACACTATTAAGACATATTCGAAGACGATTACACAATTAAAATCTATGCACAATATACAGATATATATTTCTAGGCCAACATTACAGGAAATACCCGAAATCAATAGGTATTTCAGATGTGCCACACTCAGAGCACACCGAAGTGTGATAGCATGGCAGGTACCATGTACTGAAAATGTTGTTGATTCTTTAAAGGTTGTGATTTTTCTCTTCCACAACCAAACAAAGTTTGCTGATGGGTGTTTGTTTGTGTGTGCTTATGTGTGTGTGTGTGTGTGTGTGTGTGTGTGTGTGGATGTGTGGTGTGTGTGTGTGGATGTGAGGACAACCTGTTGATTCCTTGTTTGGAGGGAAGGGAGGGGGCAGAATCTTAAAATTTCATGTTGGATTGGGGGTGATTTTGGACTATAGTGTTTTTTGGGTAGACGTAACTTTTGGGTGGTTCATTCTTACACTTGAAAAGTTGATATCGAACACGCAGACCACAGTCACAGCCATATAACAAATTCATCAACACATAAATAGAATAGAATTAATGTAGATAATTAATTGGCCAGGTGGGTGGATCTCGTTACTGACACAGGTGAGACACAGGTGGATAGCACCTGTATCCTCCAGTACCACGCCGCCCAAGACAGTTCTTCAGTTAATGAAGAAGACAGCCGTAGTCGAGAGCTGTCGTTTTCGTCTGTTGGAATATTGGTTACATGGCCGCACGATGTCGTTCTCTGTTGCTCTGACAGTGCTGTATTTCATCGCCGTGGCCGGCCCTGGTCCTGTACGCGCAGTGGGTGAGGATACCAATATTTAAGCCATACTAAAATCTTAGCCATGTTTCTTTCGCCACCATTATGTAAGGTTGAGGTATCACCAGATAGAGATATATTACTTCGAGACCCCCGTGTGTGTATGTGTGACCATGCTATACTATACTGTGTTATGATATCCATTGGTTAATCATATCGAATCTCTTATGTCCTTATATAGTACTCTAGCGCCATCGTGAGAGCGTGATTTTGACACACGGAACATAGGCCTACGTAGCCTGGGTACCGTGATAGTATTTTGTTCACCGGGGTTCCTCCCGCACACACACACACACTCCTCCGTCCACCAACAGAATTCGAAGCCCCAGTAAGCGTGACAAATAAGGTGTCTTAAAAAACACAGGCGACGTTTGGTTGTCCAATATTCTGTCTACAACTGAGATCACTTCTTGTTAGGTCGTAAGTTGTAGTTACTGCTATAGTTAAATATTAGTAATTTGGCGCCTCATTTCCGGCGTGGATATGCCACGTCGACAATGATTACGATGTTAGCAGCTGTTACTGTTTCTAGCTTACGGTGTGCAGGCAGTACTACACATGCCTCGTCTTTCTATTGTACATATACGTACATGCTCCCTGTGTACAGTATCATACAGCATTACAATACCAGCTGTTCCTGTTCCTAGCCTACTATGTATGGGCAGTATTAATGCCTCGCTCTCTAATTGTACATACAAGTAGTGTTAAAGCATCGCAACTTTTCGTAAATGTTTCCTGTGAATACCATCTATTCCTGTTCTATTGTACATACATGTAGTGTTAGACCATAGCAAATTCGTGCATGTTTCCGGCATATAATATACAGGACGCTAGAGCTACTTCACAAATCTTTCTGGCGCTTAGCGCAAACCTGTTTTAGCTATAGGTCGCCAAAGAAGACGGTTCTAGCGTATCAATAGAGAATCTACCTTTTACTTTCAGAACAAATCACCTGCACCACACAGGCCCGGAATATGGATGGAGAATCATTTACGTAAGCCTACAGTACTGTATATCACTTCTTCCTGAGAATTTAGTTCATCAGAATAATGAGCTACGATAACGATGCTGTATGAGAATGGCATCGTTTCAAAAGCATCTGCCCACTATCCTGATGGCACTGTTATGGCCCGAGCGATTTATGAATATTTTTATCAATTAGAGTAAAAATTTGTAAAAATCTGTTCCCTACCCCACCACATGCACAGAGCGAACTGCCCTGCTGACTGTGTGACTGCCGGAGGAGCTGTCTGGGGTACTGCCATTTACACAGACGTAAGTGTGAAGAACGCTGTTTGTAATAGTGGTCCTCACTTACATTGTTTTCAATATACAGTCAAACCTGTCCAAGCAACAGGGGACCAAAGAAAGGTGGACTCGTTATAGAGGGTCGCCTTAAAAATTACTGAGGCATAAATGCTTCAAAACATGATTGAGGCATAAAAGTCAAGGTCTTCTAATGTCAAATGCTGTAAATGCATTTAGGAAGAGTGGTACATGGAACGATTTACGGCGAACAAAAACATCATCCAGCAGTCGAGAAAAAATTACGGGTTTCTCCATGAATACTCATTAGTTATTGTCAATAATCACTAGAGCGAAAAAGATGTGGTCACGATAGGCAGGTATCAGACCTTAAGCGGACCCAACTCAGGGTGTTCGCGGTCGCGTTGGCCAGGTGGTCACCTTAGACAGGTTGCGTAATGCTAGTGTTCAAGGGGAAGATTTTTGGGACCGAGAAAAAGCGGTCACCTTAGACAGGTGGCCTGCTTGAAGAGGTGGTCTCCTTGGCAGGTTTGACTGTATCATTCATTTTGCTTTCTATTTCTCTACAAGGACTCCAGTATCTGCCGTGCTGCTATCCATGACGGCAAGATCCCGGCTACTGGCGGAGTAGTCAGGGTCAACAAACTACCCGGACAGTCCTCGTACCAAGGCTCCACCCAGAACGGAATCACCACCTCGTCGTTAGTAACATGTAGTCTTTTACAATTGTAACACAGTCATAGAAAGCTGATGAGTTTGCTTTGTAGCAAGATACCATAGCAACATAGAGTATAAATGATTTCCATTTATATCTTCAGCATGAGAGTTCCCTATATTTGTAACATGCCAGATAAAAAGTGGTATTTATGTTTCAGGTATGGAGCTTATGGTAGTTCTTTTGCCTTCTCACAAGTAGGTAAGTAAGAAACTTAATGTTTTACTACCTTTAGTTGTGAACAGACTATTGGGAAACTTTCAATGTGTGGATATTTTGGACACAATACGAAGGTAGAAATACCTAGTTCAAGGTAACATCATGTTCTCTTCTGCAGATCTTATAAGATCAAAATAATTAAAATAGTACAAAGTACAGGTCCTTTGCTTTACGTGTGTACAATAACATGTAGTAGTGTAGACATGTAGTACTGGCTTAATTAACCTTTGTCATTTGAAATCTGAATTTGTAAGATGCAAAATATTGTGTTCACAGATGTTCACATGTCGATATTTGTTGAAACAAAAACTTATTTGAAGCATAAAGCTTGAATATACTGATCCTAGGTCCTTTTTATTAGCAACAAAAATGTCTGTTCGCTCGTGATAAAAGAAACGTATTTGAAACATCGATAAAGACAGTCATGCATTCTGCACGATCTTCCTCGACANCTATGTTTTAAACAAAAGTTACGTTACAGACCTCATTTCGGGGCGATAAGAAAATTCGTACCGTTTTGTGTTCTTTGGTATCTTACCAACCATTGCCCTTCTTGGTGTCCTTATCGCCCCTCATTTATGCCACAAATATTGACGATGAAAAAACGGCGTAATCTAGTTATCTTTTCCATAAGTGGCGTAATCTAATTATCTGTTCAAGTAATACTTACATGCAAATAAGTTGAGAAAATCAAAACACGCAGGATGAAACTGGCTCCCACTGTATTCGACATCCTGACATTATAATATCCAAGCCACAGGTCAAGCAAAGTAAAGCAAGTAATTTCTCAATAATCAGCTTGTTAGTGTGCTTGTCTCCTACCATTTTCGCCAAAAAAAGTTTATGTTGACCTGAAGTGTATGAGTATTGCGTAAGCCAGAGTTCCCGGATGTATCAATTGTGGTTCAGCATGGGGGAAAATGATATTAATATCACTTTACAAACATGCGCCGCGCAAGTCGTACAAGCGAAATTATGTAAAAAGTCGGCTAGTTATGTATTAATTTCAGCATGATGTATCGGAAAATATCACTTCCTTCTGGAGGTTAGTACTCCTTTAAAGAGATGGTCTCCTTGGCAGGTTTGACTGTATCATTCATTTTGCTTTCTATTCCTCTACAAGGACTCCAGTATCTGCCGAGCTGCTATCCATGACGGCAGGATCCCGGCTACTGGCGGAGTAGTCACGGGCTACAAACTACCCGGACAGTCCTCGTACCAAGGCTCCACCCAGAACGGAATCACCACCTCCTCGTTAGTAACATGTTCTTATGTCCTTTAAAATTGTACATAGAAAGCCGATGATTTTGCTTTGTAGCAAGATACCATAGCATCATAGAGTATAAACGGTTTCCATTTATATCTTCAGCATGAGAGTTCCCTATATTTGTAACATGCCAGACAAAAAGGGGTATTTGTGTTTCAGGTATGGAGCTTATGGTAGTTCTTTTGCCTTCTCAGAATTAGGTAAGTAAGAAATTTAATGTTTTACTACCTTAAGTTGTCAACAGACTGTTGGGAAACTCTTAGTCAATGTGTGCATATTTTGGACACGATATGAGTGTAAAAATATCTAGTTCAAGGTAACATCATGTTCTCTTCTGCAGATCTTTTAAGATCAAAATAATTAAAATAGTACAAAGTACAATGGGTCCTTTGCTTTACGTGTGTACAATAACATGTAGTGGTGTAGACATGTTGTATTGGCTTAATTAACCTTTGTCATTTGAAATCTGAATTTGTAAGATGCAAAATATTGTGTTCACAGATGTTCACATGTCGATATTTGTTGAAACAAAAACTTATTTGAAGCATAAAGCTTGAATATACTGATCCGAGGTCTTTCTTATGAGCAACAAAAATGTTTGTTCGCTCGTATTAGAAGAAGAAAACATGTTGTAGCTATAGGTCGCCAAAGAAGACGGTTCTAGCGTATCAATAGAGGATCTACCTTTTACTTTCAGAACAAATCACCTGCACCACACAGGCCCAGAATATGGATGGAGAATCATTTACGTAAGCCAACAGTACTGTATTTCACTTCTTTCTGAGAATTTAGTTGAGCATCAGAATAAAAAGCTACGATAACGATGCTGTATAAGAATGGCATCGTTTCAAAAGTACCCGTCCACTATCCTGATGGCATTGTTATGGCCCGTGCGATTTCTGAATATTTTTATTAATGTTAGAGTAAAAACAATTTCTTCGCGTCTGGAATCTCACTCTATCTGTTCCCTACCCCACCACATGTACAGAGCGATCTGCCCTGCTGACTGTGTGGATGCTGCGGGAGCTGTCTGGGGAACGGCCATTTACACAGACGTAAGTTTGATCAACGCTGTTTGTAATAGTGGTCCTCACTTACATTGTTGTCAATATACAGTCAAATCTGTCCAAGCCGTCCACCCAGGGGACCAAAGAAAGGTGGTCTCCTTGAAGAGGGCCGCCTCAAAACATGGCCTAGGCATAAATGGTTTCCAAGTCAAGATGTTCTAATGTCAAATGCTGTAAATGCATTTCGGGAGAGAGGTACATAGAACAGTTAACGTCGAACAAAAACATCATCCAGCCGTCGAGGCAAACTGACTGGTTTCTCCATGATTTCGCATTAGTTATCATGAATAATTTCCAGAGCGAAAATGATGTGGTCACCATGGGCAGGTATCAGGCCTTGAGCGTACCCGACTCAGGGTGGTCGCAGTCGCGTTGGCCAGGTGGTCATCTTGGACAGGTTGCTTAATGCTTGTGTCAATGGGAAAAATTTTTGGGACGAGAAAAAGCCGTCACCATGGACAGGTGGTCTGCTTGAAGAGGTGGTCTCCTAGGCAGGTTTGACTGTATCATTCATTTTGCTTTCTATTCCTCTACAAGGACTCCAGTATCTGCCGTGCTGCTATCCATGACGGCAGGATCCCGGCTACTGGCGGAGTAGTCACGGGCTACAAACTACCCGGACAGTCCTCGTACCAAGGCTCCACCCAGAACGGAATCACCACCTCGTCGTTAGTAACATGTTCTTATGTCCTTTAAAATTGCACATAAAAGGCCGATGAGTTTGCTTTGTAACAAGATAGCATAGCATTATAGAGTATAAACGGTTTCCATTTATATCTTCAGCATGAGAGTTCCCTGTATTTGTAACATGCCAGATAAGAAGTGGTATTTGTTTCAGGTATGGAGCTTATGGTAGTTCTTTTGCCTTCTCAGAACTAGGTAAGTAAGAAATTTTATGTTTTACTACCTTAAGTTGTCAACAGACTGTTGGGAAACTCTTAGTCAATGTGTGCATATTTTGGACACGATATGAGTGTAAAAATCCCTAGTTAAAGGTAACATCATGTTCTCTTCTGCAGATCTTTTAAGATCAAAATAATTAAAATAGTACAAAGTATAGGTCCTTTGCTTTACGTGTGTACAATAACATGTAGTAGTGTGGACATGTAGTATTTGCTTAATTAACCTTTGGCATTTGAAATCTGATTTTGTAAGATGGAAAATATTGTGTTCACAGATGTTTACATGCCGATATTTTTTGAAACTAAAAACTTATTTGAAGCATAAAGCTTGCATATACTGCCTTAGGTCTTTCTTATGAGTAACAAAAATGTTTGTTCGCTCGTGATAGAAGAAATTATATTTGAAACATCGATAAAGACAGTCATGCATTCTGTACGATCTTCCTCTTCATTACTTGACTGTACTCTTTTAATTTCTCTTCTTTATCTTCCGATGTTCAACGTCGACCATGTTTGTGGTGGTAGTGGTTTTTAGTTCACAGTTTGTAAGTCGCTCAAATGTGTTTGCATATTTTTCAACGTCATGAACACATATATAACCACAATGTACCTTTGACCTGACAGTTAAATCCCATTGGGCTTTTACCTACAGATGTTGTAATCATCTTATAACTCTATTCCTGTCTTATTTACTTTGTTTTCAATTTAAAGTCCACATGTCAAGTTTATGTTTTTGTTAAGTAAGCAGTTAAACGGCTGTGTTCTCATCTAAAGTAATACCGTCTCAGCACCCCATCTGGTGTTTTGTCAAGGCAGGGAACCGCTTAGCCTAAACCTGTGTTAGGTCGCCAAAGAAGACGGTTCTAGCGTATCAATAGAGGATCTACCTTTTACTTTCAGAACAAATCACCTGCACCACACAGGCCCAGAATATGGATGGAGAATCATTTACGTAAGCCAACAGTACTGTATTTCCCTTCTTCCTAAGAATTTAGTTGAGCATTAGAATATCATGCTACATGTACGAAAAGGATGCTGTATAAGAATGGCATCGTTTCAAAAAGCACCCGTTCATTATTCTGATGGCACTGTTATGGCCCGTGCGATTTTTGCATATTTTTTATTAATGTTAGAGTAAAAACAATTTCTTCGCGTCTAGAATCTCACTTCATCTTTATCCTACCCCACCACATGCACAGAGCGATCTGCCCTGCTGACTGTGTGGATGCTGCGGGAGCTGTCTGGGGTACTGCCATTTACACAGACGTAAGTATGATGACTGCTTTTTTTTCCCGTTTATTGCCAGGTGGCCACCCCGGACAGGTTGCTTAATGCTTGTGTCAATGGGGAAAATTTTTGGGACGAGAAAAAGCGGTCAACATGTACAGGTGGTCTGTTTAAAGAGGTGGTCTCCTTGGCAGGTTTGACTGTATCATTCATTTTGCTTTCTATTCTTCTACAAGGACTCCAGTATCTGCCGAGCTGCTATCCATGACGGCAGGATCCCGGCCACTGGCGGAGTAGTCACGGGCTACAAACTACCCGGACAGTCCTCGTACCAAGGCTCCACCCAGAACGGAATCACCACCTCGTCGTTAGTAACATGTTCTTATGTCCTTTAAAATTGTACATAGAAAGCTGATGAGTTTGCTTTGTAGCAAGATACCATAGCATCATAGAGTATAAACGGTTTCCATTTATATCTTCAGCATGAGAGTTTCCTGTATTTGTAACATGCCAGATGAAAAGTGGTATTTGTGTTTCAGGTATGGAGCTTATGGTAGTTCTTTTGCCTTCTCAGAACTAGGTAAGTAAGAAATTTAATATTTTACTACCTTTAGTTGTCAACAGACTGTTGGGAAACTCTTAGTCAATGTGTGCATATTTTGGACACAATACGTGTGTAGAAATATCTAGTTCAAGGTAACATCATGTTCTCTTCTGCAGATCTTTTAAGATCAAAATAATTAAAATAGTACAAAGTACAATGGGTCCTTTGCTTTACGTGTGTACAATAACATGTAGTAGAGTAGGCTTAATTAACCTTTGTCATTTGAAGTCTGATTTTTGTAAGATGCAAAATTTTGTGTTCACAGATTTTCTTATGTCGATATTTGTTGAAACAAAAACTTATTTGAAGCATAAAGCTTGAATATACTGATCCTAAGTCTTTCTTATGAGCAACAAAAATGTTTGTTCGCTCGTGTTAGAAGAAAACATATTTGAAACATCGATAAAGACAGTCATGCATTCTGCACAATCTTCCTCGACATTACTTGACTGTACTCATTTAATTTCTCTTGTTTATCTTCCGTTGTTAAACGTCGACCATGTTTGTGGTGGCAGTGGTTTTTAGTTCACAGTTTGTAAGTAACTCAAATGTGTTTGCATATTTTTCAACGTCACGAACACATATATAACCACAATGTACCTTTGACCTGACAGTTAAATCTCATTGGGCTTTTCCCTACAGATGTTGTAATCATCGTTTAACTCCATTCCTGTCTTATTTGTTTTCAATTTAAAGTCCACATGTCAAGTTTTTTTTGTTAAGTAAGGAATTAAACGGTTGTGTTCTCATCTAGAGTAATACCGTCTCCGCACCCCATCTGGTGTTTTATCAAGGCAGGGAACCGCTTAGCCTTAACCTGTGTTAGGTCGCCAAAGAAGACGGTTCTAGCGTATCAATAGAGGATCTACCTTTTACTTTCAGAACAAATCACCTGCACCACACAGGCCCAGAATATGGATGGAGAATCATTTACGTAAGCCAACAGTACTGTATTTCACTTCTTTCTGAGAATTTAGTTGAGCATCAGAATAATAAGGTACGATAACGATGCTGTATAAGAATGGCATCGTTTCAAAAGCATCCGTCCATTATTCTGATGACACTGTTATGGCCCGTGCGGTTTTTGAATATTTTTATTAATGTTAAGAGTAAAAACAATTTCATCGCGTCTGGAATCTCACTCTATCTGTTCCCTCCCCCACCACATGCACAGAGCGATCTGCCCTGCTGACTGTGTGGATGCTGCGGGAGCTGTCTGGGGTACTGCCATTTACACAGACGTAAGTATGATCACTGCTTTTTTTCCCGTTTATTGCCAGGTGGTCACCCCGGACAGGTCGCTTAATGCTTGTGTCAATGGGGAAAATTTTGGGGACGAGAAAAAGCGGTCACCATGGACAGGTGGTCTGCTTGAAGAGGTGGTCTCCTAGGCAGGTTTGACTATATCATTCATTTTGCTTTCTATTCCTCTACAAGGACTCCAGTATCTGCCGAGCTGCTATCCATGACGGCAGGATCCCGGCTACTGGCGGAGTAGTCACGGGCTACAAACTACCCGGACAGTCCTCGTACCAAGGCTCCACCCAGAACGGAATCACCACCTCGTCGTTAGTAACATGTTCTTATGTCCTTTAAAATTGTACATAGAAAGCCGATGAGTTTGCTTTGTAGCAAGATACCATAGCATCATAGAGTATAAACGGTTTCCATTTATATCTTCAGCATGAGAGTTCCCTATATTTGTAACATGCCAGACAAAAAGGGGTATTTGTGTTTCAGGTATGGAGCTTATGGTAGTTCTTTTGCCTTCTCAGAACTAGGTAAGTAAGAAATTTAATGTTTTACTACCTTAAGTTGTCAACAGACTGTTGGGAAACACTCAGCCAATGTGTTGATATATTCTGGATACAATACGAGTGTAGACATACCAAGTTTAAGGTAACATCATGTTCTCTTCTGCAGATCTTTTAAGATCAAAATAACTAAAATAGTACAAAGTACAATTGGTCGTTTGCTTTACGTGTGTATAATAGCATGTAGTCGTGTAGACATGTAGTATTGGCTTAATTAACCTTTGTCATTTGAAATCTGATTTTGTAAAATGCAAAATATTGTGTTCACAGATGTTCACATGTCGATATTTTTTGAAGCTAAAAACTTATTTGAAGCATAAAGCTTGCATATACTGCCTTAGGTATTTCTTATGAGTAACAAAAATGTTTGTTCGCTCGTGATAGAAGAAAACATATTTGAAACATCGATAAAGACAGCCATGCCTTCTGTACGATCTTCCTCGACATTACTTGACTAAACTCTTTTAATTTCTCTTCTTTATCTTCCGATGTTCATCGTCGACCATTTTTGTGGTGGTAGTTTCTTTTAGTTTACAGTTTGTAAGTCGCTCAAATGTGTTTGCATATTTTTCAACGTCACGAACACATATATAACCACAATGTACCTTTGACCTGACAGTTAAATCCCATTGGGCTTTTCCCTACAGATGTTGTAATCATCTTATAACTCTATTCCTGTCTTATTTACTTTGTGCTCAATTTAAAGTTCACATGTCAAGTTTATGTTTTTGTTAAGTAAGCAGTTAAACGGTTATGTTCTCATCTAAAGTAATACCGTCTCCACACCCCATCTGGTGTTTTATCAAGGCAGGGAACCGCTTAGCCTTAACCTGTGTTAGGTCGCCAAAGAAGACGGTTCTAGCGTATCAATAGAGGATCTACCTTTTACTTTCAGAACAAATCACCTGCACCACACAGGCCCAGAATATGGATGGAGAATCATTTACGTAAGCCAACAGTACTGTATTTCCCTTCTTTCTAAGAATTTAGTTGAGCATTAGAATATCATGCTACATGTACGAAAAGGATGCTGTATAAGAATGGCATCGTTTCAAAAGCATCCGTCAATTGTTCTGATGGCACTGTTATGGCCCGTGCGGTTTTTGAATATTTTTATTAATGTTAAGAGTAAAAACAATTTCATCGCGTCTGGAATCTCACTCTATCTGTTCCCTACCCCACCACATGCACAGAGCGATCTGCCCTGCTGACTGTGTGGATGCTGCGGGAGCTGTCTGGGGTACTGCCATTTACACAGACGTAAGTATGATCACTGCTTTTTTTTCCCGTTTATTGCCAGGTGGTCACCCCGGACAGGTTGCTTAATGCTTGTGTCAATGGGGAAAATTTTTGGGACGATAAAAAGCGGTCAACATGGACAGGTGGTCTGTTTGAAGAGGTGGTCTCCTTGGCAGGTTTGACTGTATCATTCATTTTGCTTTCTATTCCTCTACAAGGACTCCAGTATCTGCCGTGCGGCTATCCATGACGGCAGGATCCCGGCTACTGGCGGAGTAGTCACGGGCTACAAACTACCCGGACAGTCCTCCTACCAAGGCTCCACCCAGAACGGAATCACCACCTCGTCGTTAGTAACATGTTCTAATGTCCTTTAAAATTGCACATAGAAAGCCGATGAATTTGCTTTGTAGCAGGATACCATAGCATTATAGAGTATAAACGGTTTCCATTTATATCTTCAGCATGAGAGTTCCCTATATTTGTAACATGCCAGATAAGAAGTGGTATTTGTGTTTCAGGTATGGAGCTTATGGTAGTTCTTTTGCCTTCTCAGAACTAGGTAAGTAAGAAATTTAATGTTTTACTACCTTTAGTTGTCAACAGACTGTTGGGAAACTCTCAGTTAATGTGTGGATATATTTTGGACACAATACGTGTGTAGAAATATCTAGTTCAAGGTAACATCATGTTCTCTTCTGCAGATCTTTTAAGATCAAAATAATTAAAATAGTACAAAGTACAATGGGTCCTTTGCTTTACGTGTGTACCATAACATGTGTAGTAGAGTAGGCTTAATTAACCTTGTCATTTGAAGTCTGATTTTGTAAGATGCAAAATATTGTGTTCACAGATGTTCACATGTCGATTTTTGTTGAAACTAAAAACTTATTTGAAGCATAAAGCTTGAATATACTGCTCCTAGGTCTTTCTTATGAGTAACAAAAATGTTTGTTCGCTCGTGATAGAGGAAAACATATTTGAAACATCGATAAAGACAGTCATGCATTCTGTACGATCTTCCTCGACATTACTTGACTTTACTATTTTAATTTCTCTTCTTTATCTTCCGATGTTCATCGTCGACCATTCTTGTGGTGGTAGTGGTTTTTAGTTTACAGTTTGTAAGTCGCTCAAATGTGTTTGCATATTTTTCAACGTCACGAACACATATATGACCACAGTGTACCTTTGACCTGACAGTTAAATCCCATTGGGCTTTTCCCTACAGATGTCGTAATCATCTTATAACTCCATTCCTGTCTTATTAACTTTGTTTTCAATTTAAAGTCCACATGTCAAGTTTATGTTTTTGTTAAGTAAGCAATTAAACGGTTGTGTTCTCATCTAAAGTAATACCGTCTCCACACCCCATCTGGTGTTTTATCAAGGCAGGGAACCGCTTAGCCTTAACCTGTGTTAGGTCGCCAAAGAAGACGGTTCTAGTGTATCAATAAAGGATCTACCTTTTACTTTCAGAACAAATCACCTGCACCACACAGGCCCAGAGTATGGATGGAGAATCATTTACGTAAGCCAACAGTACTGTATTTCACTTCTTTCTGAGAATTTAGTTGAGCATCAGAATAATAAGCTACGATAACGATGCTGTATAAGAATGGCATCGTTTCTAAAGCATCCGTCAATTATTCTGATGGCACTGTTATGGCCCGTGCGATTTCTGAATATTTCTATTAATGTTAAGAGTACAAACGATTTCTTCGCGTCTGGAATCTCACTCTATCTGTTCCCTACCCCACCACATGCACAGAGCGATCTGCCCTGCTGACTGTGTGACTGCTGCGGGAGGTGTCTGGGGTACTGCCATTTACACTGACGTAAGTATGATCACTGCTGTTTTTTTCATTTATTGCCATGTGGTCACCTCGGACAGGTTGCTTAATGCTTGTGTCAATGGGGAAAGTTTTGGAGACGAGAAAAAGCGGTCAACATGGACAGGTGGCCTGCTTGAAGAGGTGGTCTCCTAGGCAGGTTTGACTGTATCATTCATTTTGCTTTCTATTACTCTACAAGGACTCCAGTATCTGCCGTGCTGCTATCCATGACTACAGGATCCCGGCTACTGGCGGAGAAGTCACGGGCTACAAACTACCCGGACAGTCCTCGTACCAAGGTTCCATCCAGAACGGAATCTCCACCTCGTCGTTAGTAATATGTATTCCTTTAAAATTGTACATAGCCGTTGAGTTTGCTTTGTAGCAAAATACCATAGAAACATAGAGTATAAATGGTTTCCATTTATATCTTCAGCATGAGAGTTCCCTATATTTGTAGCATGCTAGATAAGAAGTGGTATTTGTGTTTCAGGTATGGAGCTTATGGTGGTTCTTTTGCCTTCTCAGAACTAGGTAAGTAAGAAACTTAATGTTACAAACACATATATAACCGCAGTGTACTTTTGCCCTGACAGTATACCTAATTGGGCTTTCCCTTCTATTTTTGGGCTCGCCAAAGAAGACGTTCTAGCGTATTAAAAGATGATCTATCTTTTACTTTCAGAACAAATAACCTGCACCACACAGGCCCAGAATATGGATGGAGAATCATTTACGTAAGCCAACATTACTGTATTTCACTTCTTCCTGAGAATTTAGTTCATCAGAATAATATTTATTAAGCTACGATAACGATGCTGTATGAGAATGGCATCGTTTCAAAAGCATCCGTCCACAATCCTGATGGCACTGTTATGGCCCGTGCGATTTCTGAATAATTTTATTAATGTTAGAGCAAGGACAGTATAATGTCCTTGTTAGAGTAAAAACAATTTCTTCGCGTCTGGAATCTCACTTCATCTGTTCTCTACCCCACCACATGTACAGAGCGATCTGCCCTGCTGACTGTGTGGATGCTGCGGGGTCTGTCTGGGGTACTGCCATTTACACAGACGTAAGTTTAATCAACGCTGTTTGTAATATACATTGTTGTCAATATACAGTCAAATCTGTCCAAGCCGTCCACCCAGGGGACCAAAGAAAGGTGGTCTCCTTGGAGAGGGCCTCCTCAAAACATGGATGAGGCATAAATGGTTTCCAAGTCAAGATGTTCTAATGCAAAATGCTGTAAATGCATTTGGGGAGAGTGGTACATGGAACAATTTACGTCAAACAAAAACATCATCCAGCAGTCGAGGCAAACTAACGGGTTTCTCTATGATTTCTCATTAGTTATCACCAATGATTATCAGAGCGAAAATGATGTGGTCACCATGAGCAGGTATCAGGCCTTGAGCGGACCCAACTCAGGTGGTCACCTTTGAATGCTTGTGTCAAGCGGTCAACGTGGACAGGTGGTCTGCTTGAAGGTGTGGTCTCCTTGGCAGGATCATTCATTCATTCCTTCATTTTGCTTTCTATTCCCCTACAAGGACTCTAGTATCTGCCGTGCTGCTATCCATGACGGCAGGATCCCAGCTACTGGCGGAGTAGTCACGGGCTACAAACTACCCGGACAGTCCTCGTACCAAGGCTCCACTCAGAACGGAATCACCACCTCGTCGTTAGTAACATGTTCTTATGTCCTTTAAAATTGTACATAGAAAGCCGATGAGTTTGCTTTGTAGCAAGATACCATAGCATCATAGAGTATAAACGGTTTCCATTTATATCTTCAGCATGAGAGTTCCCTATATTTGTAACATGCCAGATAAGAAGTGGTATTTGTGTTTCAGGTATGGAGCTTATGGTAGTTCTTTTGCCTTCTCAGAACTAGGTAAGTAAGAAAGTTAATGTTTTACTACCTTTAGTTGTCAACAGACTATTGGGAAACTTTCAATGTGTGGATATATTTTGGACACAATACGAGTGTAGAAATATCTTATTCAAGGTAACATCATGTTCTCTTCTGCATATCTTTTAAATTAAGATCAAAATAATTAAAATGGTACAGAGTACAATAGGTCCTTTGCTTTACGTGTGTACATTAACATGTAGTAGTGTAGACATGTAGTATTGGCTTAATCGACCTTTGCCATTTGAACCTGATTTTGTAAGATGCAAAATATTTTTGTGTTGATAGGTGTTCACATGTCGATATTTGTTGAAACTAAAACTTATTTGAAGTATAAAGCTTGAATATACTGCTCCTAGGTCTTTCTTATGAGCAACAAGAATGTTTGTTCGTTCGTGATAGAAGAAAACATATTTGAAACATCAATAAAGACAGTCATCAGTATTCTGTGCGCTAAAAGCCACAATTCGCACTAAATGGTGCGTTTCACATGGATAGCAACAAAGGTCTTTCCTGCTTGGTCCGAAAACCACATGACCGAAGGTTACCTCAAAACCAATTCACCAGGAAATGCATTCGTGCAATTTTTGAAATTCTTTCATAGCGATAGTAGTACTTACACAAATGCCTCCGCCCCTGAAGGCGTCGCCAAAGTCTATAAACTGGTAAGGATGGCACCCAGGTAAGGACCTACCTATACATGCCTTTCACATGCGCCACGTTTGATTACGTGTTTGTTAAACATGTCAACATGATTCTACTTAATTAAGTTACCCACCAACACCTAGTCGCCGAGCTTCATCTGTATTATGAAAAACCTCTTTCGTTATACCGAGTTCAAATTGGAACACTTAGAGATGGAAGAAGTCATTGATGATTCTCTAGATGATTTTGAAACCATCGGCAATACAGTGTTTCCAGTGTCAATTCTACGTTAACTTTGTGTCTGGAAGAATGGAGGCTGTATACGTATGAGATCTACTCTGTAAATATCTTTTTTTGCAAAATCATGCCCGAAGGCTAAATACTTTACAAAGTCAAAGATACTATACGGTACAATATGATAATATGATCAGACAACTATTGTCTAGAAAAACTTACACTTCTACCACTACGCTTGCTATCATGAGGTTTGACTTCTTCTTTTAGGGCAGTGGATAATAAATAATCCCACGTAATTCTAACAATGTGTCTTTTGAAATCAACACGTTAGATCCGAGATATCGATGTGGTGTTCCTGCGGTCGCGCGCGCTGCTCCTAAGGATCGCATCGTTGGCGGAAATGACGCAAAACACGGGGCGTGGCCATGGCAGGTACTTACCTTTCTTGTCGACTTCGGTATTACTGAAGGAAAAGCGCAAAAAGAAGAGTAAATAGAATTAGTCATCTAAACTAATTTGCTGAGAGCTCTTATTGTATGGATAGCGTATACCAACCAGATGAAACTATTCATCTTAGTGTTTGCCTACATGTGTAATTTTTGTGTACTGGGAGCAGCGAATGTAAAGTGTAACTAACTGGCATCTCGTTGCCAAAGTAGGCATGACGTTTTAATAGCTTACAAATTCTGTCTCAACTACACTGATGGGTTTCGTGATATCTAAGGCTGGCTGTATCAGATATCTAAGCCCAAAGAAATTGAACACTTTGGGTCAATGTTACTGACCGTGAAGGAAGTCATTGACCTCCGGCTTAGTCTGCAGACGTTTTTTTTTTCGCAGCTGTAATTATCATTCAGTAATGGTAAATGATGGTAATATGATTCATACAAGGCCATCTAGGCCCCCTCATATGAACAAATTCTACAGTAGCGTTCTTCGCTATGATGAGACTTTCATTCTTTTGAACAACTTGTTCTGTCTGGGTCTGTCTGCCTTCGCACCTGTATATCAAAATCTTTAGAGATCGATTTTTCATACATGGCATATCGGCAGTTAGAGGAAGGTATCAAACACCTTAGCCACACCACGAAAACCTTACTTGAAAGCTTATTGAAAATACATGCCCGAGGGCTAATTGCAGGTACAAACAACATGTATGAAAAAAGAAAATACAATGATATGAGAGACTACGTATATACTACATTCTGTTACTCATTTTGCTGGGTTTACCTTCTTCTTTTGAGGCAGTGGAAGACGAATTTACCCACTTCAATAATATGTGGGCTCTTTGATTTTAGTAGTAAAATTGTTTTCTCGTGGTTGGGGATAGTGGGAAAGTAAAGTAGTAGTTTGGAAACAATGGTGAATAATAATTGTTTTCCGATATCGTCATAAACAATTCGAGATGAAATGATTTTCGTCTTCCACTGCATTTGAGGAGCAATATTTACAAATCTTCTCCGACACAGCTTACTTCACAAACCCTTGTTTATTTGTTTGTTTGTTTTGTTTACTATAGGTATCCCTCCGCGTCCTGGCTCACAGTTCTTTCCATTTCTGCGGCGGTGCCCTGGTGCACCAACAGTGGGTGGTGACGGCCGCGCACTGCGTGGATGAGTGAGTAATATAGTCCATAAATTTTCCCTGGATTCATGTTTGTGTTTAAAAAATCGTCGCACAAATGAAAAGGTAACATTTGCAAAGCAAATGCATAATGTTTACCTTCGCATATGGCCCGGCTCTTACTTAGACTGTTTATTCTCACTCAAACACATTCACATATATTCAGACAGGAGTCTAAATCCCTCCTGTTAAATTGCAACATGATGTAACCCAACACTAGTTACCATGGTGACAGCCGTTTTGTTCAGGCCATTGACCTTTGGTGTTTGGAGAAGAGCATGTTTTCCTTCGGTAAACATAATCATCATCATGATAATAATCTATTAGAAAATAACGCCATTATTCCACATCGAAAGCAGTTGTACAGGTCTAACTGGTAAACTGATTGCAATATCAGTATCCCGTTTGTAGTTCATGCATTTCAGAGGTAGCCTTTGGCCCGAGGCGCACAGTGTTGTATAGAACGACTTAATTGCGTCGATAAAACAATCTGAAGTACGTCCAAACGGTTTTCTATGATCCGCATTTAACCTATGCCTATGGTCTACGGTTACGGCCTTGGGGCGTGATTGCCATACTGGCGCTATATCATGAGAAAGAATGGAGGGATAGCTTTCTAGAGGTTCTATATGGAAAATATGTTACGATGTTTCTGTTGGAAACAGATAAATTAAGTCTTTCACTTCCATGCATTGGACTACATTCCGTACATGCAGAGCTCGAAACAGGAAGATCATTTCGTACTTTATATCACGTGAATATTTTTCCTGTTCCGGGGTCAAGATTAGATATTGATTGTGATTGACCCTGATGCCGTGGTTTATATTGCAGTGGAAGCAGACCCTACGTAGTATTGGGAGAAAGCAGTCGTTCCGTGGATGATGGCACAGAGCGCACGATTCGGGCCAGAAGAATCTATATTCACCCAAAATACGGGTTCGGCTATGACGTCGGTGAGCTCTATTTAGTTGATTCAAAGCTGGTTTGCCTGGTAGGTCTATGGTGCCTTTGTCAGTAGCAATTGAATACGGGAATGAAGCGAAACAACTCTTTTCGTGGAATATGAATCTCTGTGTGCACGTGATACCTTCTTTTGAGGACTCTAGATATCTGTGACATCTTTTTTTCTCTGCCCCTACAGCTCTTCTGAAGTTGAGGAAACGTGTTCGCTTCACCCCATATATCCGACCTGTTTGCCTGCCCGATTCTACCACAGTTGTGCAACCGGGGACGGTTTGCACCATAACCGGCTGGGGAACAACCTCGGAAGGTACATGAACGTCCGACAGCGAGAAAAGGCGCAAATACATCACTTAACATTATAACTCCCATACGAGTATATATATAGCTAGAATTGATACAAACGTAAATTTGAAGATCTGCGACCTTCGCGCGTGAACTACTTAACTAAGTGGCTTTCTATCAATTTTTGTTGTACCCTTTGCAACCGGCACAAGTCTACTCTCCAAGCAGAGGTTTGAATTATTTTAGCTTGTTTTTTTTTTGGGGGGGGGGGGGTTCTTCTTTGCACCAGAATTTTTTACGCCAAAAAAAAAATTAAAAAATTTTAGTGCAAAAAGAAGCCCCCATAAAACAGCCCAAAAATAAGCCACAACCCAAACCTCTGCTTGGAAAGTAGCACAAGTCTATCCACATGTAATCATTGCTATAGATGATAAACACAAGACCACGTAGGTTTGTTTTGAAGAGACACGGGAATGAAACTATAAGGGGTGAGTAAGTCCCAGCATATTGCAATATCTCTCATGGAACTCCCGCATCTGAGCAAAGTTCACCTCATGACTCCCCGTAGGCGGTTCTCTATCCGATCAGCTGCAGGAAGCGGACGTGCCGATAGTGAGTGACGCGGACTGCTCCAGCTCGTATACCGGCTTGCTGGACTTAGACTCGGAGATCTGTGCCGGCTACATGGCGGGAGGAGTCGACTCGTGCCAGGTAAGCCATTCTTTAATAGCAAGCCTATATCCACACATATAGCGAACACACACTTAAAGAAAATATCAAAGTATGGAGTAACAAGTAACGACCACATGCGTCTCGACACATGGTGGTAATATACATGGTGTAAATAGGGACCTCTGACCTCTCCACTGTATTTTAATGTAAGTAATGTAATTTAAGCTAGCTTTAATTGTTTTGCATATAAGCAAGTAGGCCTACGTGTAGATTGTTGTTAAGATTGTTATTGTTATACTGCTATTTAAGCTGATGTTGTTGTATATAATTGTAGCTATTAAGTTTGTAATTGATTATATTTCAATATAATATAAATGTAATTTTTATAATTTCATTTTTTGTAATTGTGAAGGACTTTTAAATATAAAGGACTCCAGGAAGACTAGTAAACAAACATTGTATTACTAATGGAGATTCCTGATAAACATAAACATAAACATAAACACACGCTCAGCGCTGTTCACGCGTGGCTGCATACCGCACAAACAACGACTTAATGTTAATGTTTCGTAAGCATTTTTGGGCCCATTTTTGTCCAAGGTTGAATGAACCAGAGCTTTTGTATTAACTATCTTTTTTTCACCATTATCTAACATTTTTTCACGTTATACTGCCATGCATCTCTTATTAAAATGCTGCTCTTCATACGGTCAGCAATATGGCATCGACCATTACAAATGTCACCGACTATCTATATTACTGCATTATACTACTATATTATATTCGTTGAACGGAGATGTCTTTATGTAGTGATCCATTCGTTAAAGTAACCGGTTCAGCGTTTCTCACGCGGATGAAGGACAGGCTTATGAGCCCGCTGTTCCATCAGATGGTAATGATGCTTGTCTAGACTATAGATATCGACTTTGATACCTTTCAAAATAAAGTGATCCATCTTGTATCTGAGGGCAATGCGGGATCAACATCAAAATTTATAAAAGGTGGTAACAGGCGTTCTGAAGTGGACTGGAACGTCTCTGTTAAAACAACACGATCGCATATTTACGGAATCAGAATGGGGAATTTGGCGATGCGTGTTATAGACTGCGTTTTTAAGGTTTCTATTCAGTCCACTGGATGGATACATGTACGTGCTTCTCACAGGCTTCAAGAAAGCAGTAGTTCTCCTTGGGGTACAATATAACGGGAATATTACACATGTGAAGTGTCAATCATTCAAGAAATAGAAGCATAACGGACATAATATTTTTCCTTACCCTATAGCAGGCTTCAAAGGCGACTGGAAAGAGTAGTAATTGTCCGGATAGACTGATAAATTTCCTGGGGAGTTAGCTCAGAGCCGCGGAAAACTGTACTCCCCTGGTATGTTATCTTTTTATGTCCTGTTATGTCAATTTCTACTCTTTCCAGCGACCTCTGAAGCCTGGTAGAGGCTAATTACGGAGCGGATTGTAGTCTCTACCAGACTAACTACGCTGGCTATATATAGAATATTTGCCAGGGGAGTTTGGCCGCCTTGTATGTTTGATTGGCCGCGCAATCAAGGAGCGCAATTCCGAGGGAAAGAAACTACCTCCCCTTGGCCAATTTTACTCTTTTTCCCCCGAATTCTACGATATCCGTATTCCCGTAGGTAGGCCTGGTGGAGGCTAAGCGGATTCAGTAAAAGGGTAAAGGTGTATAACAATAAAATGCTAATACAGAAACATGATGCTTGATTGGCAACTTCAGTGTGTAAAGTTAACCATGAAAACGTGTACCTGTTCACAGGGGGATAGCGGCGGCCCGCTGGTGTGGCTGACGGAAGGACAGCACCTGCTGATCGGCTTAACCAGCTGGGGAGAGGGATGTGCCCGGCCCAACCGCCCCGGTGTGTACACGCGCGTCACCAGCGTGGTGAACTGGATCAAACGCATCATCCATATCAACTCCTAACCACGGGTCGCCTCTCTCCCTCTCTTCAATAAAGGTTATTAGAATGTTGATCAGACGTGTGCATGTGTCAGTGGATAGGTCAGTGGTTACATTCTGGTATCTGATGAGTCGCCCTTCATTCTGATTACCATGTACTCTTCATGGTGCCTCCATGATTAGACGAATGATGAAGAAAGCTGGCCGTATGGAGAAGAGCTGTGTGTAATCTGCGCTGTCAGTGCGTCATAGAGTCATCTCTGATTGTGTAAAGTAGACTCAATCAGTGCCAAAAAATGAGGTGATGAGAAGAACGCAATCACCCATCATATCTCTTTACCTAAGCCAGAAGGTTAATGTTTTGGTAGCATGTGTGTGTGTGTGCGTGTGTGTGTGTGTGTGTGGTTTAGCACGATAACTCGAGAAGCTATGGATGGATTGTCATGAGACTTTGTGGGCGCTTATTTATATTTAATTACCTTTTCTGCTTTGTCAGTTCTTGACGTACATATGACGTACAATGGCCCTTTTCACAATACAAAGGATCAAGTCATTATATCATCGCTATTGTCGAGAAAACCAGAGTCGTGACGCAAGAACGTTATATCATCACCCGTATAGCCAGCGAGGTTAGGTATCATACTAAAACATAGCATCCCTATTAAGCAATCAAACCGAAAGTTCACATCCTTTTATCAATCTCAATGTTGGCAAGTTCAAGGGTACGTTCATCGATTTCCATTAAGTATCGCGAGTTGGTAACCTTAGAACCACCTTTTTTTAATTCTCCGACCTGACTTGTTGTTTTCACGTGCACTTACTATGCTGATTGGAGAGCCCCTTACATCTAACCGCCTTCCCCTATGGTCTTTCGTTCTCCAGTTAAGCTTCCAATATCATTTCTTTTCAATTATCTGCCATATCCCCGGGCAATATACATGGAAACGGCGGTCCATGTAATCTTCAGCCATGAAAGGTATTACAGTGGAAACAAGAGTTCCACGATCTCATACCTTCGCCAAATGATGTTAACCCTTGTGGTTGACAAATTATACAATTTTAATAATTGATTTTGTAAATAAGAGCCCCATTTGCATGGATTATATCAGTTGATCATATTCTCCACCCAATGACAGCTATTAAGCACTTCCTCATAAATTATGCAAATGAGGCCATGATTTGAATGAATTATGGTTGTTGATGTTCACCTTCACTTAACTTCCAAATGTGGCAAGTATGAAATTCCCAGCAGTTACAACTATGAAATTATAAAAATTTGTCATTTATTATGCAAATTAGGTCCTCATTTACATAATCTACATCCTCAGATGTTTTTTCTCGTTCTCACAAGTGATGTCACAAATGTTTCATAGTTCTATTATCGAACAAAGCAGATTTATAGAATTTCGTCATTAATTATGCAAATCAGCTTCTGATTTGCATAATTGTCATTTGATCATGTCAAGCATCGCTTCAACTACCTACATGCCAAAAATCACGACAATCCGTCAACCGGTTCTTGAATTATCCTTCTTCGAAAAATTTTCAACAAATGCTCCTGCAGTTCCAGAACAAGCCGCTAGGGGACCCAAACTCATGTCACTTCTTTCCTATCCCAAGAGCTATCTCCCATCCAAAATTCGTGACCCTAGCATGTCCAGATCACGAGATATCAAAACCGGAAGTTCTGCTGCAGTACCTAGGAAAGCCGCCAGGGGGCCCAATATCTGATCATTTCTAGGTCTCATGAAGACCTACCCACCTACCGAGTTTCATTCCAATCCATCCACTGCTTCTCGAGTTATCTTGATAAACCACACACACACACACACACACACACACAACACACACAACACACACACACACACACACACACACACAACACACAACTAACACACACACACACACACACACACACACAACACACCACACACACACAGACAAACGCTACTGAAAACATAACCTTCTTGGCGAAGGTAATTAAGGCCATC